CGGCTTGAGAAACTGAACACTCCAAGTGTTGTTGGTTAACAATTGTGTTGCTAGGACTTCATTCCTCAGAACTGACACCTAAATATTATAAACAGATTAGCCACAAAGAAAGGAAAAAAAATTTTGGTTATATCAAAAAAAAATTCTTTTAATATATTGGCGATGGAATAGTTACTTTAGCTGCAAAAGTTCTGACGTTGTTACCTGATATTAAATATTATGCCTTACTTTCTACATCTTAAATACCAGCAAGGGCACCATAGCCACTACCACATGATGAACTCTTTCCATTGATTTCCCTATGTAATTTTCCAAAGTCAATTTTATGAAAACTATTATCAACCTTGGGATGACTCAGACAAGGTTCGTGGTTTGGGTTGTTGTGGGGTTTTGCTTGTTTTTGTTTTTTGGTTGTGGTTTTTTTTTGTTGTCGTTGTTATTGTTTTTTCCCCCCTCCCTTTTTTTAACTAAAATCACCATCATCGCAAAATTCTTTAGAACTGTTTGTCAAAAATACCTTTTAGAGACGTTTTTACCACTTCAGAAAAACTTCACTGAAAATGAAAAATATTTAAGAAAAGCCTAAACAAATTAAATCATGTCTTTGCTCATTATCAAAATTTGTGAATACCAGATTCCAGTTACAAACTATACTTTTCGGCAGATGCTTAGCTCATGATCATTCAGCTCAAGATCCAGCTTCCATCACTCAAGAGGATTATGCAACAATGGGCAGGTTATTACTGCTTAAAGCTCATATACTGAATATACTTCTTCATAACGTTTTGAGTTTCTATGGATCCTTCTTTTCCAGTAAAAAAGCTACATGGCTTAATTGGAAGGTCTAATCAAAAATGCAACCGTTTTGTTTTTTTTTTTTTTACTTCCTATCACAGTGGTAATATATAACCCATCAAGAAGAGTACAATTTAAAGTGCATTGAATGAACAATCTAGTTCTCCCATATTTTTTATCTCCCATATTTATCAAACTTCCACACTCTTACTACACATAAGAAAACATACTTGTCAATTAACAGATATTTTAAATACTACTTCTATATTCCTCTTCTACCACTGTGAGCAAGCGTTACTGAGCTGAAAGGAGTGATCAGTTTACTTACCACTGAACTGCAACCACTCTTCAGAATTTCTCTGCTAGAAACGCTAAGACACCTTTTATGACAAGGAGTTAAGAATTTTACTAATGTAATTAAAATAATTCAGATCAATCTGAAACAACATGCTCTTTCATCCCTTGGTTAATACTGGTCAAGCAGTGTGATGTACACTAACAGTTCACAATATATACTGCTTATCATGCAGGGAAAATGCAATTTTAGACCATCCAAAACATTCAATGAAATATTTGCTCTGCTGGCAAACTTCATGAATTTTCTACAAAGCCTGTGTTATTATAATGGGAGCTTTCAACTTCACTGGAAAGAATGAAAGTACTGTTTTTTTAAGATGAGTACTGCTCACATCAACTTTGGCTAACTACTCTGTTCTGTACTTGCAGGAAACAAGCCATGCAACAGACTCCCATTCACAAAATAAATCCCAGTGATGCAAATTTTAATCTTTGTGTCATATCTCTTTTCCAATCAGAAAGAGTCTCAAAGAAGATAAGCCTTATGACCATTTAAAATATTTTTAAAAATAAAATTCAACAGGCAATTTTAAAGATTCTTGTGATCTTGTTTCATTATCCCATTTTGAACTACCATCAGTTCCTTATACAGTTTTCAGATCAAGACCCAAAATTCCGTTTACTGGATACATTTCTTTATCAGATTTTACTGCAAGATCATCTTCCCCAGCACTATCTTTTTAAAACTATGAAAACATCCATAAAAACCAGAATATTGTGCAATGGTCAGATCCTTAAAGTAAGATTCCTTTTGCCAAAGTCTGCAAAAATTTTAGTGGTTTAAGTGTTTTCCCCAGGCAACACACTCCCCTTTCCTAGCTGAAATATTAATACATGTCATGCTTTATCAAAGAAATCTTGATTCTGCGTGATGTGTTCTAGGGTACAGCCATCTATAATAATTATTTAGATTTGGGGAGGGTTGGTAGGGTGTCTCTTTGCTTGTTTATTCCAAATGAATAGTGTTTGACTGCAATTAAAAGCTAGTACAGATACGGGAGAATTCCTACCTTTCCAAGCAAGTTTTACCAGTAAATAGATCTCAAATGCTCTAATGAGACTGTTAGTATGACTGAATGTAGGGCATACTACCTTTCCATTAACAGGGTATTTTGAGAAGCGAATTTGGTTAAGTCTAAATATTGTTCAGGGAAGGGGGAGAAGAAAGATTTTCAGCTTCACCTCACCTCCAGTACATACTGTCAAAGTTAAATGATTAAAAACGAGATTGTCACCCAGATAAAGTTATTTAACTTCAGGGTAAAGCTATGTTTAGACAACTGGAACAGCTTAACAATTAATTCTAGAATTATTTTTTTATTATCAGAGAGTGCTGCTTCTGCATTCCCTTAATCCTTTGAAATATGTCTTCATATTCTACTACATAGGCACAGGAAGCGGAGAATGCAAAAGTTAGGATTTACCCACAAATACTACAGACTTTGGGGATGGGGGAAGGCAAGTTTCTGCCTTTCCTGTGTCTCTACAATCCCTTGGCTCTTCTTAGCTGAGGAATCTGAATTATCCAAGACCCTCTTAAAGAAAGCAAGTACTAAAACTAGGTTTGACTTGAAGTTAATGTTCTTGCCCTCAAGAGCAATAGAGCAAAGCGTAAGAAATGGTATTCCTTATCAAATTTTGTACTGCTAATGAGGAAAATAAAGAAGTCAGAAAATACAGCTTACAGTCCATGGCAGCACTGACATTTTGTACAGGTAAGGAGAAAAGAATTTTTCACTTCAGATACAAACAAGAACCAGATTAGTAACTCTGAAAATTACACAGAAAAGTTAAATTACTGTTTAAAGCAAATTACAGTTAACACCACCAACAAAAACAAAAGAAGAGAACAATAATAACCTATCAGAGAACTGATAGCAGATAAGGCAAAATTAATGGGATTTTGCTTCAGTTCCACACTGCTAACAAGTAATGAATGCATAGGCAAGGAGCACACCTGTCCCACAGCAGCGCTGCAGCCTGTGATATGTTTACTACAGTTGTCCTGTATTTCCCTTCATCCCTCTCACCACCAGAATTGACCACAAACCTAGCTTTCCCCAGTCTCAGCACTCAGATGACTACTGTTGCCTTGCGTATCAGCTGCCTAGATTTCCTTTCAAGCCACACTTATGCTGAATAGACTAAAAAAGAACAGTTAGCTGTTTTGCTCATACTTGACCCTTTTCCTTAGTGATGGCACTAATTTGTTTCTCCTCTATCAGAACACGCAGAAATTTAGTGACTGATAACACCAAACTTTAACAAAAGTTAGCTGAATTGAATCAATAGGTTAAAAAAACCCAAACAAAACTGATAGACAGGTTTATGATCACACTATCTTGTCTCTACCCCTTTCTTAAAAACAGCACTACTTTTAGTTTGATTTCCTAAGGAGTTTTTTCTTTATTAGTATATTCCATGCAGGCAATGTGTGAGCTCTGCCCACCCTAAGCCCTCAAGTTACAAGTCCTAAGGCCAATATGATTATGTACAAAGTAACTCACTTTATAAAAGTTCATTAGTATCAGCAACAATAGTAATACAATAGTATTCACCAACAAGCATCCAGTATCATATAGATTTACACAGCATTGCTACAAAACAGCTACAAAACCAGAGCATTTCTATGAAGTCCTGACTGTTGATACAATGGAAAATAAACATTTTTCTGCACTGTTTAAAAAAAAAAAAGTGTTGAGCCATTCAGTCATTCCTAGCCAAGATTTTCTTTATGTTACAAAACAGATTCTCACTCAGCACTGATTTTTTAATTTTTTTCTACATTTTAAGTATATAGTTTTAGCAGGTGGGGTTTTTTTGTTGTTGTTTAACATGGTCTTCAGTTTTAAGTTACTATTTTTAACAGAATAAATAGTATGTAGATCAGATAGAAAACTATTTGTCAAGAATGAAGTGCAAGGTAAATTATATTTGCACTGATAACCCACAGGGCTATTTTTTTGCCACTTTTTCAAAAGGTTTATATAAAACACACACATAGAGAGCACAAATTACATTGCTGTTGTATGTAAAAACAAGCAAGCAACCCTCCACTGCCAAAGCTGGTGGTTCACATGTGGATGGGGGAAAAAAGGATTAAATAAATTCTGGAGAGGTCATTTGTTTGTCTAAGTTAATTATGAAGAAATTAAGGCACCCAAAACTGTGGTCATCTTCACCTAAAAAGTAACGTCAATTCCTAGCATCAGCAGCTACAGTAAGTCCCGCTGTCAACTAAATGAAGAATGGTACAAAACATGCCACTAGAATGAAACATGGCACAAAACCGTTAAATACATCACATGAACTCAGATTTCAAGATAAAGGATCTTCCTGAACTTGGCTCATGGCACTCTGAACAAACAGCAGTGCATGGATAAAGGCTTTAGACTTTGAAAGTATTAAAATCAGAACTCAGAAAAGATTTTACACTTGGTATATTTTTGGAAAACCTAGAAGTTATAAATTTTTTAAGTTTGTACAGAATTTACTCTGAAGCATACAATTACTGGATTTTAAACTGCCTGACAATATTATCCAGTCTTCTTAGAGTACATTTCCAAAGTAACTTTTTGAACCTGCAGATGAATACTTTATACAGAATATGAAATGTTGTTCTGGAGTAAATCAGTGAGATGGAGCAGATAAAACACTGGGCGAAATTTAGGTAGTCTAGCTTTAAGTGGGCTATTAAAAATTCATTTTAACCTCTATTTAAAAAAAAAAAAGACCACAAAACAAAAAACCCCAACAAAACCAGAAATAACTACACAAACCCCAAAAAGAACAAAACCAAAGAAACCCACAGTTCCCTATCTATTCTTCTGTTCTAAAATAAGATTGACTTTTACATATTTTGTACTCTTTTGCAGGGAATCTATGAAACCAAAACATGTCATGACGAATTGAACCTTTCCTGAGAAGGGTTCATAGTCCTAAACTCATTTATAATGTGTTATGTGGGAGACAGAAAGTCATTAACAGTTTGAAAATCAACAACATGGAACGTACCAACAGATTTATGAAGAATGATGGTAGCGGTTATTTACATGTTCAGGGTAGTTAATTGTTCTTTATGAATTAGGTTTCCCCTGTATAAATTAGAAAACTACAAAAAGTCAAAGTTGGGAGAAATCTCCATTTTCTTTAAAAGTTCAAGTAAAAACATCTTTGCAGCACTTTCCTTAGACAATAGCGTATTGCTCGTATAAAAGGTCTCTTATCCTATAGAAGTCGTGACAGAGACAGCCTTCCAATCCGATGCGCCCTGTTTCAGTCTGAAACAAAAGACATGTTTCAATTTATTATCTTTACACTAAGAAGAAACTTAATTTTCATTTAGAATATTATTTACCAAACAGTTCATGACACAGAACACCTACCCTGCGAACAGCTACCAGATTGTTGCACACAAGCACTCCTCCTACAAATTCAGCTTGTATACCTTCTCGCAAGAGAACTTGCTTGAAGTCAGACAGTCTTGGCTCGTTCATAAACACAGACTGATGTCCAAGAACCTTAAACAACACATACAACTTTAATACTTCTGTGACTTAATGCCTTCCATTTTTCCAAAAAATCTCCTGATCATTGTGTTGGCAGGAGTGTGGTCTAGACTACAAGACTATAAACAAGAAGATTGGTTCTATTTCTGTTCACCTGCAGCAAGACGTTTCCAAGATAGGAAGGCCTTAGAAGTTATCCATTAAGTAAAGGAAAAGCTCCCCTCTTTGCTCACATACTGAAGACAAATGGAAACCTGTCACTGAAGATCCCTCTTCCAAGCCATGTTATGCCAGGGACAGAGCTGCAGTAAGCTGTACTGCTGGTCAGTACATACTTTTAGGATGGTTGTCATGAATCTGAACAGACTTTAGAGTTGTCTCCACATTTATCTAGTTCCCAGAACAGACTACATTTAAGACTATGCAACAGTATCTTAAAAAGCAATTCTAGGATTAGAAGGCATTGTAATCATTCAATGAAAAGATAAAAGAATATCTACTCACATGCAAAGGATTTTAATTTAAGAGCAAAGATAAATTTATAGAAAAGATTAATTTAATGAACTCTCAAATCACTATTATAGGAGGAAATGTATGAATTTCAAAGATCTGTATCTCAAGTATATGAAAGTATTTTCCATAGCATTAACAAAACATAATAAAATCCAAGAGTGACTAAATGCCAACTAACTTCCAAATCTGCAAGTACTAACTACAAATATGAGACATGTTAATTAAAATATCCTCATAAATAGATGGTACTGGATGCTAGGCACTGTTAGTGGATGCAAGAGATCATCCTTGCTGAAAAGCATAAAATCTGGACAAAGAGTAGTACCAGGTTTAACAAAGAGAAAATCAAACATGAAAATCCATTATTTCAGTTAGGCTTTCATTTGAGTAAGATCACAGTATCAACCTATAAGCACTAGAAAGAGACAAATGAATACAGAGCTCTTCAAAAAAGAAGTCCAGATCAGCATAATTTCTGTACCTCATGAGGTGGCAGAGGTTCCAAAGTAGGAATGATCTCACTCTCCTCACACATCTCCTTGTCATCATCACCAAAGAGGCTTTTCATGGCTTTCTGTTGTGCAATGACACTAGAGTCTGAAGATGGCATATCCACTTGCATCTCTAAGTCTTCATCTTCCCTCAGCTCCCCCTCTTCCAAAATAACTCCAGTATCCACTTTTGAAACTCGCATGTCCAGAACACCATCTATCCAAGCCAACTCAGCATCCTTGGCTTTACAGAACTGAAGCGAGCTTACAAGAGAATCTTTTAGCCTGACCTGGGTTGCACAAAAATAAAAGTATTATTAGTTTCAAGGAAAACAGAGAGTTCTTACTTCAACCTTTTAAAATTAGCAGTTTTCCTTTCACTGTCTCTCCATATAGGTTTGATTCATACTCTTTTAGGGAGGAAAAGGAGAGAATTGGTATCACCAAGGCAAGATGTTCTATACTTTCAAAATATAATTTGTATAACCCTCATGTCACTACTCAACTTAAAAAGCAGCAGAGATCAAAACCTTTTTTTGTCTTGGCTAAAATAAAAAAAGAAGCTGTATGACTGCAAGCTTGAGTTAAACTTACAGCAAGAGCCATCAATTCCTTTTAAAACATCAGAAATCTTTTTTGCAGCCAAGGAGTTCCCCAGTTGGCCTTAGTAAATTTAAGGAAAGTTTCTATATATACATTTAAGTTACTGAACAACAGTTCCAAATTTCAACCCTCCAAAACAATTTTAATTGGTATTTTATTGTAAGAAGGGATGTTGTAAACATCAGATTTTAAAGTTGACCAAAACATTACCTTACCCTGATTCCTCTGGGGCATTCCAAGCCTTTAACCTATTAAAAAAAGCCCTACTCAAAGACTCTTATCCACATGAGATTGTGCACGATCCCCATAGCAGAATCAAGGCTGCAACAGTAGGAAGGATACTGCAACTAACTAGCCATCTGCAGCACAGTCCACTCAAAAGACACTGGGATTCTGATGCCTCACTCACATCTATTTTCTAATTCAACGTCTCCAGTGTACTTCATCTGTTCAGAAAGCTTCAAACAGAAAAACAAACTAAAGCTATGCAGAAAACTGAATTTCCCCTTTATATAAAAAAATTGAAATTAAATATAAAGCAATTATATTCAGACAAAGATTACGTGAAAAATCACAATTGTTATTTCTTACACATTAGCAATCCTTGTAAGCTTTAAAAAAAAAAAAAAAAAACACCAAAATAAACCACCCTAAAAAAACCCCAAACCACAAATCAAAACCCAAAACCAACAAGCAATAAATCAAAACACAGAAAACACTGTTGTTTTAAGACTGTCAGAACTGGATAATTTTGAGTAACTAGAACTTTCCATTTCCTACAGGTTACCAGATTTTTCTATGGAAAGAAGCAGAAGTACCTCTTTCAACAATTTCACTGATGTTTTTCTATCAACTTTAAAAGTACAGAAGGAATAAAGGGTTAATGCCTGAAGTGCATGTGAGAGACTTTCCTCCAAACAACTTCAAAAGTTGAATCGTGACCATACACAATTTTCATATACTTTCACACAAATTATGCAAGTTTATTCAGAGCTTAACCATGAAAACTAAATGCAATATATTAACGCAGTGCAATACATTATCATAACCTCACTTTCCAAGAACCATCACATTAACTTTTTTTTAGGTGGTACAGGTGTCTTACTTATTTTTAACATTAACTTGTTCCTAACTTTACATGCTCATTCTTAGGTACTATTTAGGTACAAGGGTTTTTTTTCTCTTTGCTAAGGCTCCCCTTCAGATTTCAAAAAGAATCCTGAACTGCAAGTAGTGTACAGTGGTACTTTAAATATAGACATTATAAATCTATTAAGACTTGAGTAAAGCAAACTGATGTTCCCATGGACACGAACCTTGCCTTTTGCACTACAGGTAAAAATGCACCGATCCAATGTTTAAGCTTTTAAACACTTGTTATGAATAATAAGTATAAGGAGAATGCTTACCTAGAAGACAGAAAAAAGCCACTAATGTCTTGATCAAACAAAACCAAGTGTACACACAGGCAGTATTGTCTCTTCCCCCCCCAAAGAATGGAGGCCAAATTAGAAGTCTGCCAATACAGCTCTACTACAGTTCACGGTAGTTACACAACTAACAAATTCCAGTACCTTACCTGGTAAATGTGAGTTTCACTGGTTGCATCTACAGTTTCATGCAGTTTTGGCATGTAAACTTTAATATCTTTTCCACCAAAAGCTCTGCAACATTCTGCAAGGTCCTGACTGGCCTCAGGTGGTCCATGGACAATGATCAGTTGCCTTGGTTTCATTTGGTTAATAATTTTTTTAATTGAGTCCCCATCTGAGCGTCCTTCATAGTCAATATATGTAACTCTGGCTCTAGTTTGAATTAAAAACCCAAGAACAACATTTTTTAGTTTAAAACATTAAACTTTAGAGTGGTCCAAGAATTTCATTCAAAAATGGAAGATATTTTGAAATTATTCTACATCAGCAAAAGCTGTAAGCACAAAGTGTATTATGGATCAGTAAAACACGGAATTTTCAAATATCAGCATGTATGTGTATTTAACACTGTAAATTCCCCAAATTCACTTACATAGTTATCCAAAACATGAGATAAGTGTATTTGAGTAAGTTCTTCTTTTTAAAAAAAATATATGTACATTTGAGTATCTATGCTAATATACTATTGTATCATTTGTTCTTCCTCTTTCACTTGTCTCCATCAGACAGGGAATAAACTGTGAATTTCTTAAGAGTTGGGAACCATAAGACTCTGTACCATGCTCCCAGAAAGACTAGTAAAAACCTAACTTAGATAGCTTGGGGGAAAAAAAAAACCCAAGCAACCAAACAAAAACAAACCACCAAAAAGTAAGCCCTTTCCCACTTTCTTAATTCTGAGCTAGCCTTTTACCCAATTTGCACTGTGCCCATGCCACCGTTCTAGCAGAATTGACAAGAACAAAGCCACTCACTTAATTTCCATGGATTCTGTTGCAGAAATACATTTGGTAGGAACATCTGATAAATCCTGGTCCATAGGCTCTTCTCCATTCGTCAAACCAGATTCTAATTTGCTTTTTTCTTCTTCTGTTGCTTGAAGTTCTGGAACTAGAAAATCTTCAGGTCTAAAGAATGAAAGGCATTTTGCTTTTAATAGTCTTACAGTAAAACCAAAGCACCACATAATATAAAAAGAAACAATGCTGACTATTACTACTGAAATGTTTAATAACTGTTATTGCCAACAATTTTATTATACTTGCCTTCAATATTTCCATATTTGAACAGAGCTCATTTGGAAAATAACATCTTCCTATCTTAAAAACAAACTTTGATATCTTGGGAAATACTAGCAAATTGAGGTTTTCTAGCAAGTATTCCTTATGCAAATAGGACAAGCATCACTAGATTTTTCTAGGATGAACAATGTTCTTTCCCCTCAATATAAATTTATCAAAATTATGGGTGATTTAAAGCAGAAAAAAGTCAGGTTATAAAAAAAGAAATCTTTTATCTTATAAGATAAAGGCAAAAAAAAAAAAAAAGAAAACAGAAAAAAAAAGCCTGAAGTGGGAATACATCCAATACATCCTAAGAAGTGTGAACACAGGCCAAGGATCAGCGCTGTGCAGCTTCAATCCTATCATAAGCTTTCTGTGAGACTTAGCACAAACTGTCCTAACTGTTCAAAAGTTACTGTGGTTGGAAGAATACATAACAGTGCTGCAAAAGAGACAAAGTGATTATTTTTATTACTTCTATTTTTAAATTACTTCATAGCTACTACGTGTTAGCACGCATTACCACCACATACTTGATAATCTCGCCATATTCATCCCATTTAATTCTTTCTTCAGGGGCTGGAAACATTGGATAAGATTTCTTTGCCTGTTTGAAGAAGCTTCCTTTCCGGCTACCTTCACCCTTCATCATCAAATCATGTTTGGTCTTATGTACAGTTGGCTGATCAATATCCTCTTCAGCATCACTCTCATCACTGGAATCGATATCTGCCCTGAAATGACATTCCATAAAAACTAGCACTTTCTTTTTTTTCTTCAGGTTTAATACTACAAAAACACACTGAAAAATAACAGTTGACACAACACTAACCAAGGACAAGGGCAGTTTACCTAACTGAGAAAGAGCTCACAGTCAAACGGCAGATGAAACAGGTCTATCATAAAAACAGATTAAAGACAACCATTCCCAGTTCCTCAGTGCCCTCGGACAAGACTCTCAAAACTGTGATCTGCATTTATCCCTATGAACGGTTGAAGCAGAATGATCACGCAGAAATCTCAACTCTGACCATAACAGCAGAATGCAAGAACAGCCAACACACTTACTCTTTAGACTGTTCCAACTTCTTAGCTGCTTCTTTCTTTAGTTTCTCCTTTTCTAGGTATTCTTCAAGTTCTTTTCCTTCCAACTTGACACGTTTTCTCAACTGCAGATAGAATTAAAACTAATATGATGAGCAGTGGTTTTTTAATTTTTGTGTCACTAACATCAAACTAGAAGAACCTGGCAAAGTAATACCAGCAGGCAAAACAATGTTAAATTTTGTTTCTTGTTTTCTGAAAATCAAATTAGAGTATAGGTCACTTTGAGTAATACTGAATTCTCGTAATAGTCTAATACTGTAATTCAATGCTTCCAAACCAAGCTAAAACTAAAATAAAGCTGCATCATCAGGACTGAAATGATCATTGTGATTACAGAGGACTCCTATAAATTCACAATGTTACACAAATTTATATAAATAAAATAATTTGAAAGCATGAATAACAATTGTGTTCTAATTCCTAGCTTTCGCTTATCTTTCTAATTCTGGTGGGATACACTATACTAATTCAACTTGATTCTCCCCTCATCCAAAACCAAAGTATTTTCCAGCATAAGTAACCCATTGTATATTGTGATCTGTATGTCAAATGCAAGCAGAATTTTTTTTTATTATAAAAAAACCAAAGAAAAGTGTTGTCTAAAGGTAAATACTTAAAGGCAACTTCATGCTCATCTCCATGGAGTATTAATTTTGCCACACCAGCAAAAAGCATTTTGCAGTTCCTAATGTGAGACCTATTTTTATGTAAGTTTATCCACAATTGGTTAAACATGCAACATACTGATTTCAGATTTTCCTCCGCCACTAGAAGCGTTTTCAGAAGATCAAAAAGGAAACCAAGTTCAATTTTGCTCATATTACCCCAGATGGCCCACAATAAAAATATCTGAGATATATAGACAACTCTTACCTCAATATCTATAACTTTTTCAGAAGGATTATCAATCAGGAATCGTGCTAATGTTCCAGGTGTAGTGCGGTAAGTTAAAATTATAGAGTTTTTGGAATCCTGGCACCATTGAATGAAAAGATCTCTAGAAAATCCACACTCTAAGTCAGGCTGACTGGCAAGAACAACTTTTGGACTAGGCACACGAGCCAGATCAGACAGACTATGACACAAGGACAGATGGCGGAACTGAAAAGGATTGTTTCTCTTGTCTTCAAAGCACCTCATCAACTTGTCACTCATCCATTCAACCTAAAATATGTATTAAGAAAAAGTTATCTATAAGAACAGAACTTCTACGATAATGTACAAACCTGATACGAAGTACAGGATGCAATATGCACGTGATTACACCAATGTTTCTCAGCAAGTGCAGAAATAATGCTGAGTGTAAACAACACAAAAATAAGCTCTTTAAGTCCTCTTTTTTAACAGCTATAAACTATGCTAACAAGACTTGTGATAAAAACAGAAATGAATACCAAGAAACATGCCCATAGCCATCACTGGACTCTGTATTACTTCATCAAAAGATGAGAGACACAAACATGCACTATAGAATAAGGACAACACACAGTATTCAGCCATATTTTACTGTTAAAACCAAAATGCTTTTGCATACATGTTCAGTTACCCTCTTAATTGTATTTTAAAATCGAAACAAACCTGTGATTTAGAGAACTCCACTACATTGTAGCTGACATTATTCAAAAGAGCTAGAGAGTAGACTCCTAATCCTGCATCCTTTGTTCTCCAGATCTGATCAAGAAGTTGAGCAAGTTCCAGAACTCTGCCTGCTGTATCCACGGCTATTAATACATTTCCATCACCTCGTAATGTCTCCAAAACATTAGCTAAGAAGAATTAAAAACAAAACAAAACCCTACTTATATTTTGAACCCAAATTAGAATGTTTGTGGCTTGTGGGTTTTTTTTTGTTTGTTATATCACACTAAGAATCACAATCAAAAGCATATTGAACACCGAAATAAATTAAACTTCAAAAGAGATCCAAAACCACATTTCCACTAAAATTAAAGGGAGCTGGAACTTTCTGGGTAGCTCTGAAGATCTCACTGCCCTGATACTAGTTTTCCTTTTTTTTATATTAAAAAAAAAACTGTAAAAAAAAAAATCGTAAAATGGGGTTTAAAAAATCATATGCTGAGGAAGGTCATTTAAAATCCCTTAAGAGATTAATTGATACTAGGTAAAATACATTGTTTCCAAATGTGGTTTACTGTTTTCAGGAAAACGTTTAACCCACAGGATCCATACCATCAGAAAAGAGTAATTCAAAATTTGTTAAATTTTAATAAAGGTTCTTAGTTTGGATGCTGATGAATTTCTCATAGAAAAATAATTTACAGTGGCTAATAAGTCATATTACTGCTATTTTCAAGCCCAAACAGAATACATACTCAGTAGCTGTTCATCCCTTTGCTTCCTCCTGGGTTGTACATAAGTAGCATTAAATGAATCTGTAATAAGCAATGAAGGCCTGCTCAACATTTCCAAGGAACATCCATTCAGATGGCTGTGAAAAAAAGGCAAAATCTCACTTTTTGCATTTCTGTTTTATGAGAAAAACTGAGACAGCTAGCTTCCAGATGTTTGCATGTACACAAACCAAACTCCTCAGTAGCTGCATGTTTCCTGCTTCAAACTTACAAATAAATAAAACTGAGTGGAATGAAGAAACCCAGAGATAATGCTTGTTTCAAACTGATTAATCTGAATGCAACTGAAATTAGTGATCTTATTAGAGCTGGAAAGGCACTGCTACTTCCATACCTGTTTATCACACACTAAATGATGCACACCTAATGCAACGTCTAAGATATATGTATTGCTACATTGAACTTACATCTCCCTCTTGTGGTTGAAATCAACTGCATAAACAATTTCTTCCTCTCCATCCTTGACAATCTTCCAAATTGTGCCTCCTATCATGTGGCCAGCTGGCAATGGTGTGATTGACAAACCATGTCCTTTACCTGCAAAAGTTTTCAATATTTTAGGTACATTACATGTATTAAAATCTATTACTCTGAATAAGAGATAGTAATTTAAACAACTGAATGCCAAAATTATTACGGGGGAAAAAAAGTCAAATGAAGTATGAAAAATCAGTAACATATCTGTCCTTCCCATCTAACCAGTAACTTCAAAATTTTTTGAAATTCACCTCTATTTTGTCTCCAGAAAAAGAAACTAAAGTGAAGACCACTTCTTCCCTCCACCTCTCACCAGTACTCACAGGCACTGCAGAGCTGCTGTAACTATAGACCTAAATAACAGTACATTATACAACAAACATACAGCATGAAAGCAAGTACACTGGTGAAAGGCAAGCGCCTCTCTAGCACAACACAAAACGTTTACTGTATCATTCACTGTCCAGGTACTTACAAAAACACATACAAATTACAGAAGCTGGAATCTTTCCAGAATGACAAATACGCAAGTCAAACAATACCAGGAAAGGTGTTCAAGTGCTGCAGTCAGGAATGACAGACTTTTTTTTTTTTTCAATGCACTGCTGCTCCTCGTCATTGGTGCTAGCCTATATCTTTGTCAGAAGTAAAACTAGGCCACCATGACCATTACTCATTGACTTCACTGCACTCCACCAACTTGAACAGAAGTGCGTAGCTTTAATAATAACTAAAACATATATCGTCGTCTTAGACGCATCCACTGAGTCTTTTCAAATCACTTTTATTAAACATGAAAATAGTAGGGCGTTTTAAAACAGTTGTTCACAAACATTACTTTTAAGATGTAAAAGTTCGCAGCACAGATATAGCCTTGCTACAAATATCTTGAAAAAGGGTCAGCAGCCTTCCAAGGAGGGCATCCCGTTTCTATTTTCCAAATTACAGGGCAAGTATTTTGGCAGGCAGCATTCAGGAACTTGGAGATACTGCATCTCAGAGACAAGCTGCTAGTGGTCAGCTTGTAAGTGTCTTTGTTCAAGAACAGGGTTTCCATTTCATTCTGATCTTTAAATTCAAAAGGGGTGAAAAGCTGCTGATTCTCCAGATGCAACAGTTCCTAGCAGTGAGCTACACAGTATCATCCAGAGTCAGTGAAGACCTCCTCATTAAATCATCCACATGCTGTAACTTAATCTCTGCAGCCTATTCATTCTCTAGAAAGCTTTCCTTTATGTTACCGGTTACCGAAGAGTTCTGAGGTATCTACCACTAGGCATGGGTAAATGCTTTTGTGAGGCATAAGCCTCTCAAAGTTGCAAAAAAACCCAAGAGAGACACAAATGTCTAAATACACTTCGGCACAACCTCCTCATTAAGTGGAAATTCTACCCATTTCCACATACAATCACTGAAGTAAACATTCAGCTGACATACTGACATAGGGCTACTGAATTCAGCCCTGCAAAACGCACAACATTTCAAAACTTACTCCCTTTAAAAAGAAGTTACTTTAACTCTTAATGACTGTTGCCTTTTACTAAAAGTCATTTATTGAAACTTTGGCGGCAATTTTACCTTTCAAGTTCACAATCTGAGAAAACTTCAGCTGTTGTATCTTATCAAAGGCTGCATCTACATCATCCAATGTAAAGAGTGTGAAATCTTCAGTATTATGGCGAGACTAAAACAAATAAGAAGTATAGAGCATTCAAGAACCTGAGCACTCTACCATAGCAAAGATGTTGTGTATGGAAGTATCAACTTAAATATACCTGGTAGAGATCATACATAAACATCTGTCCCATTTTATATACAGGAATAGTTGCATAAATGGCACAATTCAACCCCATTTTTCCAACTGCATATGGAAGAGCACCAAGGTGTAGAGGGTCAGGATGAGAAAGAAGAACAGCATCAACCTGGTGTACATGCCTACAAAAAACAGGGACAATAGAAGTTAGTGAAAAGAGTTCTGTATGCTGTTACATACTCCATATTATGACTATTTTGAGAATACATACACAGTCTGAATGCCAAACAAGAAAACTTAAATCTTTGCAGGTTTAGAACAAAGTTTTTAAAATCATAATTAAAAGTTACAGATATTTCCAAACTTTCAAGTACTTAAAAATGCAAGTGACTTCTGAAAACATAATTTCAAGGTCTGGAAGACATAAGCACAACATCAAATTCTTAATTAGGAAGACCTTAATATATATTTGGACATCACAAAGTAAATTGAGGGGCCAAAAATATTATCAGTGAAGAGATGCTACAAATTGTTTATACATCTAAAAACCTAAAACAGACTACAGTTTTTCTTCTGATGAGAAAGACCAAGTAACAAGACCAAAGACAAACAATCCTTAAATTGATAAGGATGAAATCAAAATGTATTTCTTTAAAAACAGAAAAGGTCAAATACATCATTTGAGAAAAGTGGCACATAAATTTTTTGGGTTTTAATCATTTTAAAAACAGAATATTTTTTTCTTGCAAAGTGTTGCATAAAATAAGAACTCAAACTAAAAATTTACTACGTATCACAATTGAAAAACTTGAGGGCATAAAACATAGGCAACAAGTGAAAATACAAGTTGCGCTGAAAGCTTTTTGTTCCCTCACGGAGTAACTGGGCCACACGCATTCTTCTTGATGGCTGTTATTAAGAAGAGGATTTCATCTAATTGCTTCTCAGGTAAGACACTCGAAAAATTTTATAAATTGTCCTTAGTACACAAAAATCCTCAGTTAAAAGACTTCATATACTGCAAGTATGTCAACGCCAGAAAAGTGAATCTGCAAAAATAGCAGCCCGAAGCTTAGTTTCTTTCAGGAACTTCCATGTTTCAGTCCTAACCTTGTAATCAATGGTTGCATCAGCAAAGCTCCTTGCTGTAAACCTGCAGAAGGTCAGTGTTAAAGTCCAGACAGGCTTATTTCTTTGCAGGGCTGGGATAACCAACAGAAGCTGTTTTCCTGACTGACAGTCTATTCAACTTGAAACAAGAGGTGAGAGTAGAACCACTTTGTATTCAGCCTACAAACACTAAGGATTCCTCCATTTAAAACTTAGCCATTCTAAACTAGTTTAGAGCCAAGGTCAGTCTCCCATAAACTCTGCTCTGTATCACGTTTATGAAAAAAACAAAACATGCAAGGCAAAACAAGCACAGAACAGTTTGAGAACTACAATTAATAGATGTAACTCATTAGACTCGCAAGAAAAAAACCAAGTTTTTACTGGAAACGTATCAGCAGATAATTCCCTTCATATAAAAGATACTTCAAAGAGAAAAAAGAAGAACAACTTTGGATTTAAAATCACCATACACATACCATTGCATGGTATTTTGAAAACTTTCAGAAAAAACCAAGACCTATTTAAAAAAAAAAAAGTATGAAATGAACTACTTACTTCCTCAGAGAATCAATAATATCCATAGAAAAGTTTTCATCCCAGCCACAGTCCAAAAGAAAACGAAATTCATCTACTTGCAACAGATAGCAAAGGGCAGATTCCTCCTGCACCCCTGAAAGCGTAGTCAACTTAATAATCGATGTCATTTTCCTCTCCAAGTGTTTAATCTCCGAAAGAATTAATCTGAATGAGGGAAGAAAATGTTTCATTGACTAATCCAGAGAAGTCTATTTAGATCTAACTTCATGCATTTCTGAGGATATGCAGGATAACAGTTGTGAATACTGTTAAATACAGCTACTGTATATAAATTAACTGTCAGATATTAACTTTTGATTGTTGTAGGTCTTTTGTTATTAGAAAGAGGTTTTTTTGTACAATTGAAAATTAAAAA